ATACTTCTCTGAATGAATGTGAAAACTTTAATTTTAAGTAGGTAGGATCCAGGAAAGGCATTAGACTTCTTGCTTCCATTCCGGAGTGGAAATTCCGCCTCCTGGTTTATACAGAATTGTTACAAAATTTGATCATCTCATTCTATTATGCTTGATTTTTTAATTTATTTTGTGACTATTCTGTGATCTTTATGTATCATGTATCATGATTCAAAGGTATTTGCAACCATTTGAAAGATTTATTTCTACTTCGATTTTATCTCGAACGAATTAGAGTCGAATCAAATTCGCAAATTCTTTGATGCATTTGATACTTAGTTGTATGTATTTCAGGATTAGCACTTCGCACTATCGCGATTTCTTCTTACAGTTAAAAATATTTGATATAGTTAAATATAACAAATTAAAAAAATGAAGTTATTGCAAGAAAATGCATTACATTTATTGCACTATTTATTTCAATTTGATTTTATTATTCGACGTTAAAAGTGCGAAGTGTTTTTAGGTCATCGAGGGAAATTATTATCTGCTTGGACATTCGAATAAATATTCTCGTGTATGGTCAATAAACTCAAAGTTCATTGATGATCCACGAGAAATGTAAATTAGCAAAATACGAGTTTATTTGCAAAATTAGTATGAGAGATCTTATCTTGCTCGCGCATAGAAAATGTCCAAATGCAGTTTTCAAGGAATGAAGAAAGAAGAGGCTAAAAGCTGAAGAGGCCCCCACTTAATTGTGGCTGAAGAGGGCAACTACAGGCTACTGAATTATTTTCAAAGGTTCTACATCATGTTCGAACCTTTCGAGAATAGTTCTTTAATCATATTTTATATTTTATTTTATTATTTCTTTGCTCGTCATTAATTTGTAGTTGTAATTGGAGATGATGGACCATTCCATCTCCTTGGGACACCAATTTCGTGTCTATATCGTCAAAAAGATGCATATTTGTTTAGTTAGTTCAAGTCAAAAAATTTAAATTTTTTGTTATTACATTTGGAAGCCTATTTATCATTTTTTGAATATTAAAATAATCTCTCTTGTCTTGTTTCGTCTTTAAGATTTCCACTGCTAATGTATTTTATTAAATTTGTAATTTTTCTTTTTTATATAACATTGTTTAAAAGTATTCTATAATAATTAATGGATAATATTTTCTCTAGTAACTTAATATTTCTTCTTTTACTTTTTTATTTTTTTTATTTTTTGTAAATGTAAAATCACGCGTTTAAATTTAATTTCATTGCAACAATAAATAGATATTTGATAAAAATAAATAGAGAATTTAATTAAAAAGTGCATCTGCGAATTGGACGATTCATATGTCAGGCTATTGTATCTCACTTAATTCTATAATTAATATAGTTTTCTTTTTGTTACAGTTAATCATCGTTGGATTTAACAACAAACCTTTGAGATCTTTTTTTATTTGAGTTCCTGAAATTGTTTCATTTTTGAATATATGTATAAATGCATTTCTGAAGGCACACATATAAACCCTAAATATGAAATATACATATATATTTAAAAGTCCATATTTAATATAACATTGAATATTTGCTCAGGTTTACAAAAGATTTTAAATATATTTGTTAATTAAATGTTTCATTTATTAGCACATCTGTTTCATATTTAAGACTTTAATGGATCTGCTAATTTTTTTTTATTTTTACAATATTTTTGACAAGTATCTCAAGAGGGTGTGATTTTATTTTGCTTGTTTCTATAATACGAGAAAAAAATGTAGGATATTCGAAAAATCATCGATACAAAACTTGATGAGAAAAGAGGTGAGTGAAAAAATTACGCAAAAGATGATTGAAAAATTTCAGCTAAATCGAAAGGGGTCAGGGTCAAAAGTGTTTAATTTGACGTAGAATGCCCCATATATATATATTTGATAGAGAGTGTATTAAATTAAGTTTTCTCAAAAACTAGAGTATTCGTATAAATAATCGAAGACATTTAATAGAAAACGCATTTTGTTCTTTTTGATTTATAAATATTTGTTACTTTTGATTTATAAATATTTGTTATTAGTTTATAATTTAATAAGCAATTCGGTAGAATTTATCTCCCTGCCTCCAAAAGAAAAATCACATTAAGTAGGAGAAGTTTCGAAATACATGAAATCCTGTAATTGATAAATAATAATTAATTATATATATATATATATATATAATTAATATACTAATAAAAAGTGTGAATTATTCTAGCTTTCTAGTACTATTTTTTTTCTAATATTATTTATACCTAAAGCTATTTTAAACACCATTATGCCGGTCTAATGATAACTTTAAACAATTTATAAGAAAAGAAAAAAGGTAGAAAAAGCGATTTAATAAAAACGTTTAAAAAAATTTCGCGCAATTTAAATTTAACGTCAGATGGTACTAGTTTTTAACTTTCTATCAGATTCTCTGATTATCTTGTCGGTAATGTAGGTTGCGACATGTAATAAATGATTAAAAAAGAAAGCAGAAAATTCAGAATTTAAATAAAATAATACTTTTATTCCTAAAAATGATATATGTTAATTGTATTTATAGAATGAATAAGAAATGTTTTATTTCTCTATTTTATCATAAAATTGATAGCACAATCAAACATATATATAAGACTAATCGTATTGTCAGGTTATGTTCACTTTCACGTGTTATAGATCAATTTGTGACCTTGTGATTAACGTTACGTACAATTCCATATTTATGATTGGTTTCTATTAGTCATTTTGATTTAAGAAACGTTTGTTTTTTAATTCAAAAATTTGTAGAGAAAATATCTATTATATATTTTTCATAACTTTCAAATAGTGAAAAATAACGTGAAATTATGGAAACATTTCTTACTGCTTCGAAATCAGCTCTAGTAAGTAAAATACTATTTTTTTTTACAAGTATCTCATATATTCAACGTTTTGGTTTACTTTTATTTAATGTAAATATCTCGGTTCGTATTTAATTATAATTCTTGCAATACGTATGTTACTTCAATTTTTTGCCAAGTCGGGGCTGACCTCTGGTGGTATAATAGGAAATAACTTTCGATTATCGATTCTATTATATTCGAGATTAAATTTCAAATAATTTAAAGAGGAACATAAATTATTACCAAATGTAATAAGAAATAATTATTTCAATGTATTATTATATATGTATATATAATACTTTAATGATTATTAAAGTATACATAAATTATTATTTAATATCGATAATATAATCTCTTTTAGACAAAATTATCTGAATATTCTACGATTCGTATCGTTCTTGGAAATCAATCTTGCGATTTGGATTCGGCAGTTTGTGCTTTAGCACAAGGATTCTGCGAATATTTAAATGGAAAGAAAAAAAATAAAGAAAATGTTGCAGTAATACCGATATTAAACGTTACCAAGAAAGAGTTTCGAATTAAGACCGAAGTTATTTATTATTTCCGCCAACATGGAATTTCATACGAACTTCTAACGTTTAGGTATGTAAAAGACTTAGCGTACATTTGTTCTCAATTGTCAGAAACTTTATTTTATTTTTTAATCTATATCTAAAAGCTAAGACAAATACTTGTCTCCTGTAAATACAATTCTTTTTTAAATATTATACATATATAAAACTAAGAGATTTAAATTTGAAAGTTCATGAATAGAGAAAGAAATATGCTCACTATCATTTTAATCCATTAAAGAAATTTATACATATATCGTAATAGTTACAACAACCATTAATTCGCACGTCGTCTTTTTGATGAGTGGACAATTACTTTCGCAAATATAGATACATTTTACTTTGTTGAAAGTGGACCTACAGTATCATAACAATAAAGGATCCGAATTAACATGAAATGAGAAATAAATGAGATGCCAACAAAACCCGACAAACTCGATCTTACAAATATCTATCACCTTGCATTTGATAAAAGATATTTTAATCGTCAGTTGTTTTCATCTTGCAGATCAGTAGTTTCAAATTTATATATGAATACGAACCCATCACCAAATTAAGTTTAACATAATAAGAGAAAGAAATTGTTTCTAAATAAAATTAAAAAAACATTTTAATAAGCCAAAAGAAAAAGAAAAAAAAACAAGATCTTTTATTTAACATCTCGACATGTCGAAGTGGGGAGCGGAAATCGCGTGCTACGACATCACTGTTAGATAGATGTTAGAAAATTGATCTGTTAAATAATATCTGATCAGTTCTATTTATGTTTTTATATATAGAGATGAAATAGATTTGAACATTTTAAAAGAAAATGACAAAAAAATAGAAGTCGTACTCGTGGATCATCACGTCCTGGGGAACGAAGACATGACGTTGGTCAACTCGGTCGTTGAGATTATCGATCACCATCCTCAGGACGCATCTTGGCCCTGGCACGGGAAAACGATTCACTTAGACCTGGTCGGCAGCTGCGCCACTCTAGTCGCGCACAACCTTCTCATCAAACATCCCGAAGCCGTCGACGCGTGGCTGGCAAACTTCTTACGAGGCAAGTTTTTCCTCCTTCCATCGTATACCTTCAGAAGCCTAGCCTCCCTTTACCTTCCTTACATTTCTCCTCTTCCTTCTCCACCTCCTCCTCCTCCTCCTCCTCCTCCTATACTTCCTCTACTCGTCCATTTTCCTTGAAAATCGACAATCCTGAGGGACTCGAAAGTCTTCCGGGTGGATCGAACGAAAAATTATTGATGCTTCTATCGAACGTTCTTTCTTCTTCTTCTTCTTCTTCTTCTTGCCTTCTTCCATTTTTCTTTTTGTTTTCATCCTTCTTTTTATTCTTTACTTATTTTTTGTTTCTTTTTTCTTTTTTTCTTTTTTTTTACTTCTATTTATTTGACCACTCATTTATTGTGCAGAATACAAAATAGTCAAAGTAAGTATGTATGGATATTTCGTTCAATAGAAATATTCAAATTATTTGTCAATATTATAAAACAAATAGAACACACAACAAATATTTATAATAGGGTGGTAGAATTGCGTCAGCGTTAACATGTAATACAGAATCCTATAATGATATTTTGTTTCAAATATTTATAATTTCTAGATTTATTGGTTTAATATTAACTGCTTTAAGAGAATTCTTATGTTATTTCATTATAAATATTGATTTCTTTATTCATAATTACCAAGTCCCCAATTAAATTGTATCCATTTTCTTTTTATATTTTTATTTCTTTGTTTATCTTTTTTGTTAAACGTTGAATTATATCATTCTATGAAAGGGAAAGAACGTTGAACAAGTGGACGCGAACTGGAAAGGAATACAGAATTTCACAAGTTACATATTTTATAAAGCCATTAGGGAGAACCTACCTGCTTTCTCTCGTTTTCCCGCTAATGCCGAAGGATTAAACATGCGGACTTGCCTCGTTCAAGTACAACGAACGCCACTCTGAAATACTACTACTAATACTAATACTAATACTACTATTATATACTACTACAATAGTGAAGTAGTAACGCCTTGTTAGAAAATCAGTATAAAGATAACAAAGAATTCGGATATCCTTTTCCAATTATTCTTAAGGATAGAATATTACAATAAGATCTAACGATGATAGACGATTAATTATAATATAATATGAATTATATATCAAAAACTTCAAGATCATTTCTACGTTTCGATTAGGTCCCATATTATTGGATACTTGCAAGTTCTTGAAAGAAGCAAACCGAACTACACCACTTGATCGCGAAATTATGGAAACTCTCGAAAGAATCTCGTCCCTTGGTCCTGATAGAGATCAAATCTATCAGGGACTACTAATGGCAAAAACAGACATCAGTGAATTAACACCCGAGGATCTCGTACTCCGAGATTTAAAGTTCGAAAGTAACGTACCGTTTATTGGTTTCCCGATATTAGTCAAGGTAAGTGTCAAATGAGGGATAAAAAAGTACAAAAAATTAATTTTGTATATATTTTATATTTATAAAAAAAAAAGAAAAAAAAAGAAAAAATTAAATTAAGAACCACAAGGATAACAATAGCCAAATTTCGGGGGTAGAATGTTATTGACAAATAGGTAGAGTTGATACCTACCCACCCCCTCCTTCCTCTAAGTTTGAACTTAAAATTACTTTGGAAGAAATAAGCAAAATATTTGAGTAGGATCGAAACACTCGTCGTCTTTAAAGCCCCATCCTTATTCAAGATAGGAAAGTTTGATTTACATCGTTTAGTTAGAAAGTTTGGAATGGGGTTCGTTAAGATCGGCACTCGCGGAACAAGCCCGATGCGTAATCCATCGAGAGAGGGTGCGAGAGCAAAATCGATGTCACCCCTCTTATTTTCGAACGAACGAACGAAACTCTCTTGCCCGTTGAATGCCAATGGGGATGAACGAATTCCAGATTTTCCACGCTTATATACGAAATACTTTGCCTATTACCAGGATTTCCTCACTTTGGAGGGTGCACTACGAGCTGTCGAGAAGTTCTTGGAAAGTAGAAAGTGTATGCTCGCTATCCTTATGGGACTCGTCTTGAAAAACGACCACGTGACCAGGGACATCGCGGTCTTTTCGTTATTGACCAATGGTCTGGAAAATAAAGTAAGTAGTATCGTTTCTCTCTTTTCGTACCTTCGTCCTTTCCCGTCCCAATTTTTTTTCTCTCTATCTCTCTCTACCTTTATCTTTTTTTTTCTTCTTCTTCTTCTTTCTCGACGTGCTCCGTCGAACTTCGTTTTCCATTTCCATCCATTTCCTTTTGATTTTTCGCATCGGTCTAATCCAATCTACTCTCTCTCTCTCTCTCTCTTTCTCTCTCTCTCTCTCTCTCTCTCTCTCNTTTTGACGTGTAGTGCGGTCGGTTTAAACACGTCTCGGTCGCGATCGCGTTCGCGTTCGCGTTTGTAATAAAAAACTTTATTATAGTTTTTTATTTTCGTTAGCGTCTACTGGTCAACGTCATCTTAAGGGTAGGAGACCCATCGGGCATTCATCACAGAAGACTACAAGTAAATATAAATTTTCTATCAAACATTTTGATCATAATTTTAATGTATCTTTTACATTATGACGATGATATTAATAGTTCTTTTTCATTTTTCTGTTTCAGACTACCATTGCAATCGTGCGTGCTAGCAATGAAGGGATCGTTTGTTTGCATCGTTCAACAAAATCGYGAATTAGAGTCAGTGTTTGTTCGCCGTATATAAAAATTTCGGTTTTGTTCGGGTAAAGAAACTCCGATAGTTTCTTTTATTTGATTTAAACGCGCGCGCATCGTCATCCTAAGGGTAGGAGACCCATCGGGCATTCATCACTGAAGATAGAAGGTAAATTAATTTTGATATTAAACATTTAATTTAATAATTACTTATAATTTTGAAATGATAACAATGATTCTAATCGTTTTGTACYTTTYTCTTAKYTCAGAAGGRTAAGCAGTGTGAGTGTTTGAATTTTTTGACTGCGTGCAATGCAGTTAATAAAAATTAGAGTCAGTGTTTGTTCGAATAATTAAAGTAAAATTGAATCGCGAAGTAGAGTTAGTGCCGTGTTCGCGATAAGAAACACGTAGAAGTTTCTCCGTCGTTTGAACCGTCTACAGCATCGTCATCTTTAAAGGTGGGATACCTGTCAGGCATCATCTAAAAAGATGAAAAGGTAAGTTAACTTTTCTATTTAAACATTTCTTCAATAATTTTATATTATTTTTAAATAATAACAACGATTCTAATCGTTTCATTTTTCTTTTTTTTGTTCACAGGTAGAGGAAAGGAATTAATATCTATGTATATTTCATTAAAGCATTAAAAATTAACATATATTTAAAAAACAATAATATTTCTATTTTATATATATAAATATTTTCTCATCTCATAAATTTAGTGTTAATTGAATTAATTGCATGTAATGCAGTTTTATAGTCATTATTTGTGCATTGTCATCGTCATCCTAAGGATAGAAGACCCATTGTGCATTCATCAATAAAGATTTAAAGTGAGTATATTTTTTTATTAAATAATTC